AGGGAAGGGAAGGGAAGGGAAGGGAAGGGAAGGGAAGGGAAGGGAAGGGAAGGGAAGGGAAGGGAAGAGAAGAGAAGAGAAGAGAAGAGAAGAGAAGAGAAGAGAAGAGAAGAGAAGAGAAGAGAAGAGAAGAGAAGAGAAGAGAAGAGAAGAGAAGAGAAGAGAAGAGAAGAGAAGAGAAGAGAACAAAGAATTTGAAAGTCTGAATGGCACAATATACTTGCAGTATGGCTTATTTTAAAATATTTCAGCTTTTCAGCCTCTAGGGGGGACTATGTTTTCAGCGAATCTGTCTGTGAAGAATTTTCTTAATCTCTAGCAGGCAACTCAGACTGTTGCTAATGCTAGCTGGGGTGAGTCAAGTGATTCTTGATTTGTATATGAGTTATTTCTGTGGGGAAAACAGCCTATGTCTATAATGACCTTAGTCCTAAAGGACCGGTTTGAGGCCTCTGCTCTTGCTGCAGTCCATGGGCGTTCTGCCTGCTACTGATTCACAACTTCAGGATTTGTTCCTATTAAAAAAGCATTTATGCAGCTGAAAAAATGTCAGTGGAGAAATGCTGGATTTATAGCTATGGAAAATACTGGAAGTGAACAAATGGTGAGGTGGATTAAGTGACATTTTGAATTGGGATTAACAAGTAAATTCTCATACATAACTGTCTGGCTCATAAAAATAAATAAATCACCAGGATTCACCTTTATAAATTGCTAAGATGAAGGGAAACAACTGAAACGTTTGTGACACTTTGGGCCTGCAGAAACACTGCAGAATGCAATTGCTCATGCAAGGACCACATACTGCAGGCCACATCTTTTCCAAAAGCATCAAAACCAATTTACACTGCTGTTAAATAGCACTGGCTCAATGTCTTTCTCCCTCCACCCCCCAGGCTGGCCGTGCTTCTCCCTCTTATTCATTCCCAGCAGTGCTTTACCTCACAGGGAGTAGCTGGAGTGAAGGAAGGCAACCATGTGATTTATGGGCTTACTATCTCTTCCATCATGTTTACACAGCTTACACTCAAAGAGGACAGCTAGGATAGTATGGAGCTCACACGTAAAATGAAGATATTCTGCTGGGGAAGGGGGAATCAAAAGAGATCCTTCCAGATTTTGGTGCTGTAAACACATCTGTAGGTTCAGCATAAAGCAATGACTACAAAGGTCAGCATTTCAAAATGTGTCTGAAGAAAATGTTTTTGCAGGCTTTGTGGTGTAGATGGCTGGCATTCTGTATACTGTAACATTCAGCTTAATCTCCAGTGTGTCATATAGTCATCTACAACAGAAAATGTCTGACATAACTTATAGTAGAGGAACACACAAAACAAGCTTCACCAGGGTGGATGTTCATGTAAATTTCAAGAACACTCTGATGTCAAATTCAGTAATCAAATAAAACTACATTAGAGGCACATTTCCCAGAAAAGCTACACACATCTTTACATTTGTGAGATTTTTCATTCCATCGAGATCTGTCAGATCAATGCTCCTAAATACATAAATAAATATTTTTGGATGGTTATTTCTGCATGTGACATTATCCGTTTTTTCATTACACTTCTCAGCTGTAGTTGCACAAACACTTACAGCTTTCTTTCCCTTGTTATCAAGGAACCTTAAAGGTGAGGTGGTGGTGACCCCTGGGCTCCCACCATCCCATTCATGGACTGCACAGTGAAGGCAGCAACAACTGATTTCACACACTTCCCTGAAAACAATCTCCATGATGAACTAAACAAATCCTTCATGTAAAGTGAGGAGCAGTTTCTAATGCAAACCTGGCACTCTCTGAGTAATCACAAAACATCAAACTGTGCAGCCCTGCTCTGGGTTTGAGGATGCGTACATAGAAAAATCCACAGCAAGGCATCCTCCAGGAATTTGTTGTTGAAAAGCATCAGGTGTCCAAAAGCCTCCTTCACAAAACATTCTGCACATTTCATACTGACACCGTTCCTTATTCCAAAACCGTTCTTCCATTTTAAATGGATTGTAACAAAGCATTAAGCATCGCAGCCTGATGAGCAGCAAAGAGAGGTGCATAGGGCTGCATTTAACATGCTCTGATCAGGCAGTGCTCTTAAGAGAATTTAAAAAGCAGGTTTTCTTTTTTTTTCCCCCCAAGAAAATAATCTCAGAGCAGCACTCGTCTCCTCTTCATTGGGGAAATCTCAACTCCTTGCGGCATGAAATCGTGCCTCAGAGCCACACTGGGTGGGAAGGGGCAAAAAACCACAGGGGTCTCAGAAGGACTCTCTAGCAGACTACAGGGGTGGCAGCCTGTGGGGCTTTGCTGACACGGGCATCTTTCGGGGCGAGGAGACGCGAGCCCTGCGCAGCCCACCCCGCTTTGGTGTGCAGTCTTCACCCCCAGCGCCGGCGCTGCCCTCCTCCTCTCTGCGCACATCCCCCAGCACCGAACCCTGCCCTACTCCCAGCCTGCGGGGTGCTCAAACCCCCGCACAACTGAAAAGAATTGAAGCGCAGCGGAATCCTGTATTTCCCAGCCCCGGCTGCCAGAGCAGACACCTTGGCCGCCCCCGGGCTCTCGGCGCTCAACCCCGCGCTGCAGCTCCGCGCGGCCCGGCCCGTGGGCGAGGTGTGGGGCGCGGGGGGGCCGCCGGAGGGCGGGGGCGGGCGGGAGCGGCGGGGCCGGCTCCTCCCTGCGCACAAACCCGGCGGCGCGGCGCCGGGCGTGCGGAGAAGCCGCCGCCGCTCCCGCGTTACTTAAGCGGGGAGGGAGCGTGCCGGCAGCCCTGCGGGGGGGGCGAGTGGGGGGAACCGAGGGAGAAAGGCAAACCCAAAGCATTCCGAGCTACGCCGAGATGCGCCGTCCGTAACCCGCAGGCTAGGGCAGGTTGTTCGTTTGGCCAAACACCTGAGCAATAAAGCACGACCGAACAATTGAGAGCGGGAGGGCGGGCAGACGGGGCAGCGCAAACTTTGCCGGAGTTGGGGTCTGCCGGGGGGGCGGGCGCGATGCCGCCCTGGCTGCTCGGCAGCCTCTGCTGCGTGCTGGCTGCACGGGCGGCGCTGGGCGGCGGCCCCGCGGGCGCGGAGGCGGCGGCGGCCGAGGAGGAGGAGAAGCTGATCCGGGTGCTGGTGCTGTTGCCGCAGGACGACGCCTACCTCTTCTCGCTGGGGCGGGTGCGGCCGGCCATCGAGTACGCGGTGCGGAGTCTGCGGGAGAGCGGCGCCGGCCTGCCGCCCGGCTACGCCTTCCAGCTCACCTACGAGGACTCGGCGTGCGGCAACCGCGCCCTCTTCAGCCTGGTGGACATGGTGGCCCTGCAGCGCCGCCGGCCCGACCTGCTGCTGGGGCCCGTCTGCGAGTACGCGGCGGCGCCGGTGGCGCGGCTGGCGGCGCACTGGGACGTGCCCATGCTATCGGCGGGGGCGCTGGCCGCCGGCTTCGGGGCCAAGGGCGGCGAGTACTCTCACCTCACCCGCGTGGCCCCTGCCTACGCCAAGATGGGCGAGATGCTGCTGGCCCTGTTCCGCCACCATCAGTGGAGCCGTGCCACGCTGCTCTACAGCGACAGCAACCCCGAGCGCAGCTGCTACTTCGCCATGGAAGGCGTCCATGTGGTCTTCCAGGACGAGGCCTTCCACATGGCCGTGCACAGCTTCGACGAGACCAGCCGCCACCTCGACATCGATGATGTCGTTCGCTCCCTTCAGACTGGCGAGAGGGGTGAGTGGTAGCCACGCGGGGCGGGACGTGGTGTAGAGGGCATGCTGATGATGGGTTGGCGGTTGGACTGGATGCTCTAAGAGTTCTTGGATTGGATGATCTAAATGGTTCCGTGATGGAGCAGTGGGGCTGCCCGCTGTCTCACTAGCCTGTTTAGTGGGGACCAGAGCAGGAGGTGTGATGGTTGGAACAGAAAGTTGGGTAGGGATGTCCTCTGGGATAGGTGGGAAAAGGACCACACAAGCATCCCTGGGTCAGGTGTGCAGCAGCTTGCTGGAGACTGGGACTGCCTTGAGCAAAGCTTTGCCTGCTAGAGTTCCTTAGAGCTTCACCTGTTGCATCAGGAAGCACGGATTGCCCTTGGGACTGCATTGGGATGGTGTTGTGGCACAGGAAGAAATTGGCTGGTGGTATGTGCTCATCCACAGCTGAAATTGCTCCTTTCTGCTCATACATGCAGAACAATGAATCTCTTGCTTGTTCTCTGAGATTTTAACCATCTCCATGCAAGTTGAAAGGCTGAGCAAAGGTAGCTTTTTCTTCACTGTGCTATGTCCTGCCATGGGGATCATTTTCCCTCTCCTTCTGTTAGAAACCCTGTGGAGTAGTTAACACCTTTGGTGTTAGTGGTCATTTCAAGGCACGTTTGAATGCATAACCCATGAGTGTGTAGTTACATTGCCACCAGCTGCTACAAAAACATATGCAGATAAATCAAGGAATCACAGAATGGCCTGTGCTGAAAAGGACCACAAAGATCATCGAGCCTCAACCCCCCTGCTATGTGCAGGGTCACCAATCACCAGACCAGGCTGCCCAGAGCCACATCCAGCCTGGCCTTGAAAGCCTTCAGGGATGGGGCATCCACAACCTCCTTGGGCAACCTGTTCCAGCGCGTCACCACCTCTGTGTGCAAATCTTCCTCCTAATATCCAACCTAAACTTCCCTTGTCTCAGTCTAAAACCATTCTCCCTTGTCCTATCACTATCCACCCTTGTAAACAGTAATTCTCCCTCCTGTTTATAAGTGGCTTGTGAAGAAAGCTGGAAAGTCACCCATGGGCTGGCTGAGCTGGCTTGGCATCATGAAGTACTAAAAGCGTGAAGTACTTCAGGATGTAAAGTTTGTAGTTAAGTGTACTTCAAGGTGAGATTGTATCAAGCAGTGTGTGGATACATGGGCTCATCTAAGTGGACCAGCCATAAATTTCCACAGTAAGCTATTGCTAGAAGAAAAGAGGAGCCATTCAGGACTGCTGGATCAAGCTAAAGAAAGTTCTCAGCTTTTTTTTTAGTAGAACAATAGACATAAAAAATACTTTGTGCTATATTTACATCCCTGTTTGCTTAATATTGAAACAGTATCAAAACTGAGCAGATGAGGATAGTGCTGTGTTGGCTCAGCTTGTGCTACCATGGCACAGGGCTTTGACTTAGCAGTCTGGTGTTGGTGCTGTGGTTACACTGCTGTGATGTCTTCTGTGCACTCTGGGCACTGTATAGGGGATAGCTGAGATCTCTGGATATGTGGAGCTTTAACTCTTCTTTATAGAAGTGCTGGAGCAGGTGCTTAAAATTGAGCTGTCCAAGGAATTGCCATTTAGGGAAATACGCTGAATGGAGGTAAAGAAATGTGTGAGTGCTAGAGGAAACAGCTATGTATGAAAAGATGCCTTTTTGCTTTTAATCAGCCTAACTTGGGTGTATGTTTGGCTTTCCTAGCATAACAGTGTGACTATAGCAGCAGAAAACGAGTGTTTGCTCTTAGCCAGAGGGAGCTCAGATGTCTGAATGTGCTACAGGAGCATGACTGATGGCTAAGGGCAAAAACCCACTGAACCATACTTACACTCAAGGAAGAGAGGCTTAGTTTCAGCTCAGACTTAAATGCTTTGTTGAACTGAGACTTCTGATTCAACCTTATTCTGTAAGTTCAGTGCAAGAGACTGAATAAATGCAGCCCTCTGTGGTTCTTCTCTACAGCTCTGTGCTGTGCTGGGGGAGAGGGGTACCTCTCTCCATCTTAGCTTGTAACTTGTTTTCTGGTCCATGCTGCTACTGAGAGATGCAGCACGTGAGGCCTTTCTGCCTCTACTTGTGCATTCCTGTCTTTAAGGACTGACTGCATAGCTTACCTTGCATGTTCCTCTGGATCTGAGGGGTGGTCTTGTTGCTTACGACATTTTCCAGACTGTCATGGCACTTTAAAAGTTGTGTATCTTGTGATGGATACACCATGTGCCTTGGCTTACTGGGTTAGGTCTTCATTTTTTCTTTGGCTTCCTAGGAGGTCCCCCCATAGGACAGTGGGACTGGTGGATGATGTGACACTGTTCAAAGCATTTAATTTTTCTTTAGGTTTTAAGGGCTCCACTATCATATCTATAGTGATACCATCCTGTGCACTTACCCAGCATTCTCTAACTTCTTGGAGATCACTGCTGGTGGTGGCTGTAACTTGAGTGATAGGGCTTTTCTGAACAGTTTTTAAGTAGTACAGGATATGTGCTCCCAGACCCTCCAGGGGTTGAGAAAGAAGTCATCCCACCAGGTGGCCCATGGAGACCCAGGTGCTTCTCCTTACCTGCAGGGCAAAGGCTGGCCCCATGGGTTGGGTTGCAGCTGTCTGGGGGCTGGTGTTAGATTCTTGGGGGCCCACAGGCCCACTTGGCCACCAAACTCATCTTGGTCAGTCCATGCTTTGGAGCCACTTGGAAAGATCTAGAGATGCAAGAAGATGATGATGAAAAATACAATTATAAAAGTTAACCACTTCATTGCATTAACAGTTAAAGCTGTCTAGTAAGCTTGGTTCACTGAGCTGATACTGTAGGCCAAAATAGTCAAGAACTCAGTACTGTGCTTAGACATGTTCTAGATAAGGCTGATAGTAAGTACATGTTCTAGATAGTCTGAGGTAAGTGCTTGGCAAAGAGAGAGACTCCTTTAACTGGAATTAAATTAAGTGTTTGCGGGATTAGGCAATAAATACAGAATACAAGTATGAGAATTACTGTCTTCTGTGTGTATAGTCCTGAAGGGATAACACTGTGCCTGTGTGCACGTGCGTATTTTTGTGTGTGCAATTAAAAGGTACAGATGTAGATCAAATAAGTATAATTTACATTTTTGGAAGATTGTGAGACTTGCCCGTAGCATATTTGCTTCAAAATCTTGAAATATGTACTCTTAGCTCTCCTGCAGGGTTAAAAATTACATCCACATTGTTAATATCACTTTCTTTACATTCCTTTAGAGATTTACAAAATATTACTTAACATATTTAAAAGTAGTCTTTTTTTTGTTCTGCTCTTTTTTTTTTTTTTCTTTTTTTTTCCATTTGCTCAAAATCTTTCACTGATGATATGGTGATACGGAAATCTTGATTTCATCTGCAGGTTACAGTTCTATGATAGACATGAATTACATGGGCAAAGTCAAGGGAGAGTTGGGTGAGCAGAAAGGAAACATTACAGAAGGAAATCTCTCACCTATCCTGAAATTAGGAACAGTGAGACAAATTTATTCCTGATGTTCATCTGGAAAAGATTTGGTCCAGATTTCGTTGCAAGAAATTCTTCTTTTATTTCATGCTAATATAGCTCATGAAGTGCGCCTTGCTCTGCTGCTCTGGAAATTGTTACGTTACTCGGCTGTGATGATCAGTAGGACAGAACTTTGCTTGGTATTGCTCTCCTGATAGGTGGGGATATACCAAATGTGATTCATCCTGGTGGTGCTTCTGAAACTTTACACCTGTGATGGCATCCAACCAGAGAAGTGATGAGAGAAGATGCATTGGCTGAGTAAAAATGCCAAATAGGCCAAATGTTAATTTCTTATAATAGCAGACACTTATAACCAGAAAAGTTGAATACAATTCTGATTCATATTTACCATGGGAGTGGAAATATTTGCATTCATTATTGCAGTTTTTGAGCCCTGCCATGCCTGACAGAATTCTTGGAAACATGCGTGTAGTCATCCCAACATCTTACACCCTTAATATAGGATATAGCCACAAAGCATGCAATGACAAAACATTTTGCAACAGTCTCTTGTCATTAGCTTCATACTGATAGTCCCATAAATGCGTATAAAAGTTTATGGTATAACATGCTTCATGCAAAAGATGGTTTTCTCTCTGTTGCTGAATTCCTGCTTTCTATCTGCAGGAGGATGGGGTGGCAAGAAGCATAGTTTCCCCTATGATTGGGAAAGTGACTTTTCAGTCATCATAGTTACTCTAAAGAGAAAAAACACATTGGACATATAGAATCATAGAATTCTTAGAGTTGGAAGGGATCTTTAAAGGTCATCGAGTCCAACTCCCCTGCAATGAACAGGAACATGCACAGCTCAGTCAGGTTGCTCAGGGCCTTATCCAGCCACACCTTGAATGTCTGCAGAGACAGGGCATCATTTACATCTCTTGGCAATTCAGTGCCTCACCACTCTCACTCTAAATGACTTTTCCTTATATCCAATCTAAATCTACCTTCTTTAAGTTGAAGCCATTTTCCTTTGTTCTATCACCACAGACCCTGCTAAAGAGTCTGTCACTATTTTTCCTGTAGCTCCCCCTTAGATGCTGAAAAGCTGCTATCAGATCTCCTTGGAGCGTTCTCTTCTCTGGGCTGAACAGCCCCAGCTTTTTAAGTCTATTCTTGTAGGAGAGGTGTTCCATTCCACAGATCATTTTTGTCGCCCTCCTCTGGATGCACTCCAATAGGTCCATGTCTCTCCTGTACTGAGGACTCCACAACTGGATGCAGTACTCCAGTTGAGGCTTCACCAGTGCAGAGCAGAGGGGCAGGACCTCCGTCATCCTGGTTGCCATGCTTCTTTTGATGCAGCCGAGGCTACTTTTGGCTTTCTGGGATGCAAGAGCACATTGCTGGCTCATGTCAGCTTCCTATCCACTGGAACTCCCAGGTCTTCTTTGGCGGAGGAGCACTGCTACAAAATCTGTCAGGGTGAGAAGCTGTGGATTTGGCTTGCACGCTCCGTTTTTAGGCAGGGTTGCCTGAAGGTGATCAGAGGGCTGGAGCGCCTCTCCTATGAAGAAAGGTTGAGGGAACTGGGCTTGTTTAGTTTGGAGAAGAGAAGACTCTGGAGTGATCTCATTGTGGCCTTCCAGTACTTGAAGGGAGCATATAAACAGGAGGGGGAGTGGCTGTTTACAAGGGTGGATAGTGATAGGACAAGACGGAATGGTTTTACACTGAGACAGGGGAGGCTTAGGTTAGATATTAGGAGGAAGTTCTTCTCACAGAAGGTGGTGACGCACTGGAACAGGCTGCACAAGGAGGCTGTGGATGCCCCATCCCTGGAGACATTCAAGGCCAGGCTGGATGTGGCTCTGGGCAGCCTGGTCTGGTGATTGGTGACCCTGCACATAGCAGGGGGGTTTAAACTAGGTGATCTTTGTGGTCCTTTTAAACCCAGGCCATTCTATGATTCTACGAAGGTCTTTTTTATTGCTGAAGATCAATGGTGGCTGTTTGAGCATTCAAAAACTCCAGGTGCTGCCTCCATTCCTGGCCCCTGCCAGGAAGAAAGAGAGCTGGGTTGCAGGGCTGAGGGCTGACGTTCAAGTTCCAGGGATTTGTCACAGCTTTCATCCCACTGGGTTGTCACAGTGGCACAGCATCTGCGTGGAGCACAGCTTTTCGGACTTGTAGGCATAGAAGCCCCTGTTTGGCTTCTATTCCATCATAAATGAGGCTTTGTGGCATTTAATCTCTCATCCACATTTAGTCTTCTGAGTCTGAAAATGGCACTCATTTAGCATGAACATTGTGTCCCATCAGAGGTGGCTGACTAGAATTATCATGTGGTTGTTGAAGATAAAATCATATCGTGAGCAGATCTGTACTACAGAATCCCCAGGAGCTGTCAAGGGATGGAGTGAAACAGCTGCAGAAGTGTTGCCTCTATACTACCATCATAGAGCAACAAATTGTAGACTAGGTATTTAAATGTTAGATAACATGAGTGTAGGCAAAAATCTACGCCAAACAACTCAATAAAATTGAAATGGTAGTGTCATTGTATCTTACTACTTAATATTCAGATTGTTTTATGCACACTTTAAAATAATAACCAAGGCTTATGATTGCAATCAACTCTGCAAATAGATGTAATTGAAGAAATTTGAAGGCAGAACTTGTCATATGCTGCAGGAGTAAGAAAAGAGGATAATATAGGGCTCTATTTAATTATTTTCAGAGAAGATGCAAGTAAAATGTCAATCTGTATTTGATGCCTGTCTTCTGTCAGCAGTTGGGTAATAAACTTTGTTCTTTATGTTGTCACGTTTGTTGCAACACTGGGAGGACAGCTCAGGTCACTGTGTCTGGCAGCATTCATGCTAAAGAATCTGTTCCACAAAGTTCTTGAACTCCCTCTTATCTGTGTTTTCTGTTTTCTTCCACCAGTTGTAATTATGTGTGCCAGCGGTGACACAATCAGGAACATCATGTTGGCTGCTCATCGGCAAGGAATGACCAATGGGGACTATGCTTTCTTCAATATTGAACTCTTCAACAGCTCATCATATGGTAATGTTTTTCCTGCCTGAGTATCTTGCAAAGTCTTTTGTAAGCCTGATAATATTTTTAGATTTGTTAGTCTCAAAACGTGCTGTACTGAATGCACCACCATTTCTCCCTGTCTTCTACTTAGATTATGAAATTGCAACTGAATGGATTACAGGATACTGAAGAATAGTTTTAAACTAAAAGAAAGTAGATTTAGATAAGACATGAGGAAGAAATTATTTACCCAGAGGATCAGAAGGCCCTGCCACAGGCTGCCTAGAGAAGCTGTAAATGCCCCATCCTTGGAGATGTGAACATGGCTGGGCTGGATGAGGCTTTGGGTAGTCTAGTGTAGTGAAAGGCGTCCTTGCCTTCAAGAGGGATTCAGAAATAAAAGGTCATTAAGGTATTTTCAAAACCCAAGCCTTTCTGTGATTCTAGGAAATACACTACAGGTATTATTTATTTGGTTACTTTTAGGGGAGACAGCACCAAAAAGACATATTAAGCAGCCAAATGTTTGGTACCCCACACTGCAGTGTGCATTTTCAGCACGGGGCTGCTTGTGCCATCCCCAGCCTTGTGACTGGCGGATGTCAGAGCAGGGGCTCTCCTGGCACTCCGGTGTGCCCTGGTTCATGTGGCCAGTTGAAAGGAGGCATGAGGGGTGGCAGTGGGAATGTGTGGCTGCAGGTCCAAGGTCTCCAGTAGTCACTTCTATGCTAGGAGTTCCATACATCCCTGTTTACTTCTGATCACAAACTGTATGTGCAGAACTATCCAGCACTGTTGTGTTGAACAGAAAGCACTGACAAGCAAAAGCACAGACTGTCTAAATGTGCTAGGTTTGGGTAGATAATAGCAAATTACTTAATTCCAAATAAATATGACATGATATGTCAAGTTAAATTAACTGAAAAATTAAATACTTTTCTTTTCAAAATACATCCCTGTTCAGTTACATTGTTGTTATGTCAGTACATGACAGAGACTAAACCTGTTCTCAGCTGCCTAAGCTAAAAGGAAGGCAATACTGGAACAATGTGTTTACTGACAGTTCTTAAAAATGTCATATGGCTGAAGCTGAAGGAAGTTTTTGTCTAGATTCTAGAAGTGTCAAAGTGGCTTTTGAACAGAGCAGCTTCTTTTGCAGGTGCGGAGAAAATACTTTTCCCCCTGCAGCCTGCCTGCCTGAGCTAATCCATTAAAATAACAGATTCATTTTGAATTGAAAAGCAGGAGTTGTGTGAAAGGAGGAAAACTTGTTGTCTTTCAATCCTTGAAAAGCTGATAAAGAGGAAAAAAAAAACATATTCACAAAAAGATGATGTATTTTGTTTAACGAATCAGTTAATTGCAAGTTAAATTCTCTTACATAAACTTCATTATCCATCTATCACTAAACTTCATTATCCATCTATCACCTCTGAGATTATCTTAAAAAAAAAAAAGTTGAAAAGCTCTATAATGAACATGTGTAACTGCTTAAATTCAGAGTTGTAGGTACGTAAAGAAGCAAAGATAGCACTACATAAGCCTTCTAAGCTAGCTAAGGAAGTGCCAAGTTCTACCAGCCAACAAGGAAATTACTTCTATAACTAAAAGATAAATTTGCAGAGCAAGATCAAAGCCAGTGATTGAAGTCAAGGTGGTCTGTTAGCTGACTGAATTTCAGAATGACTTCATCCCTTGTGTCATAAGTGAACCGTTTGTCACTGCAGCTTCAATCAGGACCAGTCTGAAAAAGTAAAGGTTTACTTGTATCAATAGTCACAAAACTCTGATGTTTCAAGCTTTCTGTAGACTGTGGGAGCTCTGCAGACTTGATTTCACTTGTGCCTAGAAACCACTGATCATATAGCCCCTTCGCTGCTGCTAGTGCTTCTTTCTGCTATGCTACTGCTCTATTTCATCTCAGAGAGTAGAATTTCATTAGAAGTGATTCATCTGGTCCCAAGTACAAGTCTGCATGTGAGCTGGGCTCCTTTTGGAGTCACAGGAGAAAGTTAGGCACCCCTGAATGGTGATTCACCTCATCTTGAAGTGTCTGAAATGGCCTAGATGAATTGCGCCTTAAAACTGGTGATTTTGTTACCTTGGATGAAACGAGCAGAGTGACTGGCTGTGTTACAGAGGTCTTTGTGGAGCAGGATGTGCTCATGTAAAAGCAGCAGCTGCAGGATATATGCTGCTGTGTTTTGTAATGTGTTTTGCATTTCAGGATGGTGTTTACTAGGAGGCAATGTTGCAAAAGCGCTCAACAGAGATGTGCCCATTTGTCTTGGAGGTCTCAGCATCCTCTTCCTTTTGCATTACAGTTAGTTCAGTCTACTTGTAGCTTTTCCAAGGGATAAATTACAAATATCTACCTCCTGTTTGAGTTATCAGAAATTTCTTGATGCTTCTATGGAATAATTCTTCTAATCATTTTTTCTGTTTCTTTGCAAATTTTTCCAGTGAGGAGCAAAATAACTGTTGGAAACTGACTTGAGGTGGTCATTGCATGCAGGAAGCAAATGTGGTAGGGAAATGTAGAGACATTTTCTGTGAATTCTTTGTTCCCAGTGGCAAGGGGTGCTGGAATTTTAAGAGGCACATGATTTAAGAGTTGATGTGACAGACGATTGGCATTTTCCCTTTAAGCTCAGATGACTGTATTGCAGTTTGTTGTTGCCCTCTGTTCTGAATATTTTTAATTTTTCATAAGAGCAGACGCATTTAATGCCAACAGAGCAATAATTGCAGATAAGTACTGTGGCAAGATTACATCCCACAAAACAATCCATGAAGGAATTTAAATATGGAAATTATTTCAGGAACTCTGTTATGCAAGTGCAACTTCTTGTTTCAGTGTCAGTATTTTTAAAAATAAATATGTATAATGTCCAAGACAGAAATTTGTTCACATTCCACCAGCACTATCATTTTTTTAATATGAACCCACTCTTCTTAGAAGTCTGCCTTAGTAAGTGCAAAGCCATAGCAAACCCCTCCATGTTGCATTCTCTGTCATACTTTAAGTGCTGCACTTCTGAAAAGCAGGTACCCAACTGGGACAGAGGTTTTTCAAGCTTTAAGGCTCCAGCAAGGTTTGTACCCCTTTTTTGCATCCTCCAATGTATTTTTTGAAATCAGTGAGAAGGACTGGGTACTGGCAAGGAAGGAAGCAGTGCTGCCTCTCAGGGCAAAATTGTGCTACAGGATGATAGCTGCTGTCCAGTGTTTCCACCCAGTCTGATAAATGGAGTCCTGATATACATAATTTTGACCCCAAACCAAGTCAAGTTTCTTGAGTTTCTTTGTAAGAGAATGAAAGAGCTGGAAAAAAAAGCTGGTGGGAAAAAAGAATTACTGCTTGTGACCAATCCTTGCTGATGCTGAGCTGTGATAAGTAAGGCTTTCCTGGGGTAAAAGAGAGGCAAAAGAGTTTCCATTTAATGAGAGTATTTTTCAGGGCACAGCTGGGTTTGATCTCCCTGCCCTGTGCTCTGTAACAGAAGCTGCCTTTGATCCAGAATCACCATGAGGAAAGAGTTTTTATCCTGAGAGATGCAGGCCTTTCATTGCTTTCTCCACACTCTTTGAGGAAGCAGAGCAATTTTTCCATTGCCTTTATTGCTTGTTGGTTTTTTGTTTGTTTGTTTTTGTTCAATAAAACAAAATCCCAGCAACAGTATCTGGTATACTGGGTATTCACCTGCTTTAGGGGGGCCTGATAGGTCTTGTACATGAATTTGATCTCACACAGACTCTCCTTGCAGGCTGCAGTGCCATGTAAACATTACTGAGGGTTTGACGCCTGTACTCTGTTGTCACTATGCCATTAGTATCTTCCTTTAAAAAAAAAAAAAAAAGAAAAAAAAAAATTATTTTTAAGCACAAAGTTCCCCAAGCATTTACTTATTTTGGTTCAGACAGCATCATGGTCCTCTAACTATTATAAATATTAATATAATTAATATAAATAAAATTAAATATAATATAAATATTATAACTATTATAAATTAGAGTTATATAAATAAATATTATATTATACTACTAACCATAGCAGAGGAGCACATCCACTCTTATCCCAAGGTCATGTGTGTTCCCTGATTACCTTCAGGAGCTTAGTATTAGTCTTCATCATTGCTCATTTAGCCATGACAGGAGTTTCTCATGGTTGTTCCAGAATAAAAAGATTGTCTAGTTCTGAGTCATTTCTAAGTATTTAAGGCACACTGTTCAGGGCTATCACTGTTCTCTCTTTTATTAATTTTTTATGCAAAGATAGCACAGAATCTGACCCAGGGCAACCTTTTCACTGAGACTTTAGATCAGGTTTTCAGGACCTCTTAGCATCACTGCTCATTAGATAGGATTTTTCTGTTATGTAGCAGCTAGTCAACTATCTTGCTTTAAAAGTTATGATTAATTTACTGGTATTCTGAGTTAAATTATTTCCCTTCTTTGACTATAAAATGCAGCACAGACACAGAATCCTGATTGTTTGTAAGTATTTTTTTCCATTAAGAAAAATGATGCACTGGCAGCTGCTGCCCACATGGTTTTCTTCTTGACTGCAGTAGGAGAGCTGTCAGAGAAGTAGATACAGCATCTACCTCCTATTGAGGGTGTTGATCATACTACTGACTTTATTGGAGCCATTCTGACTGCCCAGGACTAAATAGTGTTGCCAATGAGGTGACATGAAATAAAAACTTTGTGGTCAAATCCACCCTCACTTCTTGTAACTTAAATTTCTGTGATCAAGATCTGGCTTGTTCTTTGTTCTGAGATGTATTCTCATCATATTTAGACTTCAGCCCACCCTTTAAAAATAAGCAAGCACAGCATGGGAGTAAAGCTGTCTTTCCATTTGCACGTTTACTTCCCATCAGCCATTCCTCACTGCCTGATTTCCAGCTTCTGGAGGAGGTTCAGTTTTCCCTTGTACTCCATCATCTCCCTAAAGTATGGGAAAGGGGACATTTGGATGGAAAAAGGAAGGTGGTCCTGTAGTGGAACCTAGTTTGCAGCTGAAAATGTGCCTATTTTTCTCTTAGGAAATGGCTCTTGGAGGAGAGGAGACAAGCATGACCTTGAAGCAAAGAAGGCATACTCATACCTCCAAACAATCACTCTGCTGAGGACTGTGAAGCCTGAGTTTGAGAAATTTTCCCTAGAAGTGAAAAGTTCTGTTCAGAAGCAAGGTCTGCACGAGGATGACTATGTAAGTACTTGGTATCACACTTCAGGTATTAGCATCTCTTTCAAGTAACTTAAAGCTCTCTTAAAGCAAAAGTAGCAGTGAGCCTCTTCAGAACAGAAACAGCCTTGTTCAGTTCTAAAAAACTTGTTGTTGCCTATACAGTGTTTTTTTTTCTCTTTCTTCCCTGAGGATAAAGCAAGTAGCAGCTACAATAGATGTGTTTAGGTCTGTGCACCATTGTCTGTGGCCACTTCTGTGCACATCCTAAACATTTATGTTAAGAAACAGGTGATGCTTGAAGAGAGTTTGATCAGTCTTCATTTGTAGTAAGGAAGGGCTGTAATATGAACAGCTCACTAGGAATAATGGCTGTTGGGGAAAAAGTTTGAATCTCCTGCAGTTAAGAATGTGAGACAAAGCTTTTCTTGCTATCATATATGCCTACAAAGAGAGGAATTAACCCATGAAGTCAGGCAAAATTTTGACTTCATAAACTAAAGCAGTATGTTATGCTGCTTTTCAAACAAATTCAAATGTTGCTGGGAAGTAGACTATGAAATTAATATTCTGCAGAAAGGCTGAATTTGCTTGAAAGCAGTCATCTTGGCTGAAAGAGAGAGACATCCAGAGCATTCCTAAAGGAAGACTTGAGGGAATTTATGCTCTGAATTCAAGAAAGTAACACAAAACTCCCGTTCACTAGCTTCCGCATAGATACCTATCTCAGCTCTTTAAGAATTGTGTCTCTCTCTCCCCTGTGGTGGTATCATCATCTAGTTCAGAGCAAAAGTGTGGATTTACTTTCTTGAAAAGTACTAATTTAAATGTTATGTTGAGTCACATCAGTGGCTTGTATTGTAAAAATGAAGCTTTCAGAGTGTCAGAAAATAATCTTTTGTTAGCATTCTTTGCCTCACATTACTAGAGAAATCCCAGCTGGCAAGTTCAAGGTGCTACTCACTGAAGAACCTACTAAATGTGTTTTGAACAATGCATGGAACTAATTTGTGCTGTTCCTCCCTTTTCCCTCTACGTGCCTTTTTGCAGATGTCACTTAGCAAGACATGTATCTTGAAAAATTGCCATTTGTTCTTGGTTGTGGTTGGTGAGAAATGCAAATTTGAATATTAAAGATCAGTCACCCTTGAAGAGTCTCAGTCATTTCTGGCATTTCTAATGCAAGCAGTGTGACATTTTCCCAGATGAAAGAAAGCTCAAACTACTGAGAGCTCAGGATGCTGTCTGCCCAGCTTATGGATGACAGGCTGTCTTAGGGAAAAGGATTTGGATCAGGAAGCTTTGCTGTTCTGTAGGATGGAAGCCCACTGCAAACCTCGAGCCAGTTCAGCATAGGTGCTGAGTTAAGGCCACTGGACAGATAAGAGCTGTGATATGGTCAAGCAGAATTGCATCCATTGTACCCTCCAGTGCTAACAGGGAGAGATTTTGCAAGCAGGCTGTTGGGCAGACTCCTTCAACATTTTTGTACTTGCTGCTGGAAGTCTTTCTTTCTCAGGCTGTGGTTGCTTATATAATCAGGGTTGGTCATGCTCCTGGCAGTCTCAAGGCAGCTGCAGGGGTGCCTCGCTTCCCACTGCCTCAGCATCAACCTTTTGCCTAGCTCAGAGGACCGCCTCATCATATATTCTCTTCCTACCTGAGATTCAGAGCTTTTGCCTTGTTCCAACTGCTTCCGTGCCATACAACAAACTCTTCCACACCTGCTTTTTCACAGCTTTCTAACAAAGTGGGGAAATACAACTTAAGAGCACTGGGCTTGGGTTGAACATAACAAAAACACTGAGTGTGTTACATTCACGTGTGTACGTGAATTTTTATAAAATTTCTGGTGCAAAACCATTTATGATGGATTTTGCCTTTTTTCAGTTTTGACAGTGAGAAAGAGATGGCTCATATTCTCTAATGGTTGTCTTGCTGCCATGTTGAGAGGGAAAACATTTCAAGGAGAAGTAAGAAGCTAAAGTGAGAGCCAGTTCCTTCCTCTCTGAAGGATATGAGCGTAGTGGATAGGCACCTCATTAACTACTTCTTTTGGCAGCGTAAGAGGAAAGTGGCAGTGTTAGCTTCAAAGCATGCTGACCTGCGCTGTTTTCTCCAAGGGAAGCTCTCTAGGGAGAGGTCATTCAGCTGAGAGGGCTAGGAAGTGACAAAGACAGATTTTCTCTGCTGGCTTCTGCTCCTCGAAACAAAACCTGTGGGGAAAGATGATCTGTGGTACAGTCTATCTCAAGTCCTATCAGCGGGTGTTGAAATGTAATCCTCATCCGTTTCTGCAAGCTGTGTCCCAAGAGGACAAATTCAGAGAAATTTGGATTTGAAGCATTTAGTGTTTCTGCTTCTCTGTGTGGATTTTTGCAGTGTTATGGGAAAAGTGGGCCCTGGATCTATGGCCTAAATTATCTCATAGTGACTCTAACTCAAACAAAAGTAGTTAGCGCTGCCATTTTGTCCTGGCCTCTTGCCAACATAATCCTAAAGGCATTATTATCTAGTAAAAAACAATATAATAAAAATGGAAAATAACCAGATGACAGAAGAAAAGATAAGGGAGACAGAAGGGGCAAAGTCCTAAAACACCAGCTGTCAAACTGCTGGACTAGAGAACACATGTGGCCCTTAGAGGACTGTTAGGTCAAAGAGTATTGGTCATCCTCATCTCCAGCTGTGAAATCACACAGAAATAAGTGGGGGAAAAAAAAATAATCAGGACATGTGTTCTGGATGCATCTTTTCCATGTCAGAAATTGCTGTTGTTTTTGCAGGGGTGTTGCACTGTGATGGTGGGAAAAGTAAAAGAGTCCACATCTTTTGAGTGAGCAGGAAGGTGTGAGAAAGACAATTTCTGTCAGGGAATCTGTTGTGTAGGAAGAAGTTTCTTTAAACACTTTTTTAACAAAACAGCTGTGAAATTTAAGGGATATGAAGTGGTTCTGAGAAGTTATCTTATAATTGTCTGGATAGTCAGTAATTGTAGAGGATAGTGTTCCCTGCCTGCACAATCCTGTTGCATGATTTCAAGAAGCACCACGTTTTTGGTAGAAAGCCTGACCATTTTATTTACTGCTTACTTAGAGGCTGTTTTCTATAAAAATATACCCAAAGTGGGATTTTTTCCAAAAATCTGTTCAGATACAGAGTTCAGGCATAGAGACAATAGAATTGCTTTAATGTTATTACACTTACAGCATTTTAATCAGCTTCCAATGTTGATTTATTGCCAAGATATTAACAGCAACATGTTCTGGGCTTTCTGGAGCAATTGAGACCCTTGGTTTAACAGCAAAATATGGGAATAGCTCTGCTTGCAGACCTGTAGCCTAGTTTAGGCAGCAATGGGAGTTGCGTGCTTTTACTTGACAGAAGAATTTGAAACTGTCTTTGAATTGGTATGTACATAACTCCCAACAGATATTCTAGTTAAAAATGTTTATGAATAAATAGTGTTTCAGTTAAAGTATATGCATAAGCCATTTTTATTAAATAATGATGAACACATAATGAGTTGGCAGTATGGTGCAGTTTGGAAGTTCTTAATGCATCTTCTGTTCTTGACTCAGGCCTAGGATTCAATAAACACTTTTTTAAAATCTAACCCGTATTCTGAGCTGGGGTGATTTTACAGCCTGGGATATTTGCTCGTCTGAGGTTACAGACCACCCATGGCTTGTTTTTTCTTCTCATTTAAAAGCTGAAAGTGCAACTAATTAAATATTTCTGCCATGTTAACTACATGACAGTATTGTTTGCTGGGTGAATGCACGGGGTTTATCCTACCCACAGACCTTTTTGCAATGCTGAAAGTAGGCTGCAGGAGGAGGGAACTGCTGCCCAATTTGCATGTAAATCTTACTGAAAGAATGAGCACAGAGTCAGAGCTACATAGATTAATTAGATCAGCGAGATGCTACTACCTTTTAGAATGGGCAAGTCTGTTATTTTTTGGTTTTAGCTTTCTGAAATGAGAAATGATCAGCATCAGAACTGTTCAAGCTCCAACAGTTAACAATAAAAGCTACGTGGGAGGTAGCTGTGCTCATAAAATTTATCATCCCATCCACAACATCCGTGCCAGACTCTTCCCTGTGTGTATTCCTTACGTCAGCCTTTTAATTAGGATTGTATACCAGCTAAGATAAGTGTTGGGAGAAGCAAGCAATTCAGCCATGTCACTGAGAGGGATGGTAAAAATATAACTGCTGTATTCAGCAGTGTATGTCCCACTTGTTTTTCAGACATAGCCAGGCAAAATTAACGACAGGGCAGGCTTTTGTGTCTCTTCTGACTACACCAGAATGGGAGAGAGTTTGGGGTTGATTTTTTAAAACTCTGCCAGGGAATAATTTGTTTAAATGAATTGGTCTATTCAGCTGCTGGAGTGCTTTGCTAATTGTGTTCAAAAGAATAAAAGCAAACCACAAGCTGCTTTCAGCAGCCGGAAAGAAATGGGCTCACATGCCAGCTTATTAACAAGATGATTTCTATTTGTAAAACATATTTAGGATTTTTGAGACCAGCTTTTCATCCTGTGAAATTAATGAGACTTTTTTCAATTTCCATAGGAATGGGGTTGATCTCTGAACAGCTAATTTTTGTGAACATAACGGACACTTTTTTTTATTTTGCTGAAGTTAATTGTTTCTCAATAATATGAAAGATCACTGTCTTCCAAACCGGAATCTTAGGGAAAGCTACAGTGTAATAGTATGTTATTTGCGGTTAACAGATGTCATAAAAGACAGGAAAAGAAAGAAATTATCATTCTCTTCCAATAGATTTCTGTTTAGATTTTCTAGTCTGCCTAAGCATATTTTTGAAGCTGTTCAAACTATGAATGTGATAAAATTAAAGTAGGTATACCTGAAAATAGTAACATCTGAACTCTTTGGGAATGTAGAAGTTTAGAATTGATCCTCATATATATGTTGTATATTTTCCATAGCCCCATGTTTTCACTTTGGTTTCGTAGACATTCACATTCCACTTTACTGAACAGACACACA